TACCCACTGACTGAATTGGGTAGGTTTCAGACAGAAGGGGTTGTGTGGGAGAGACTTAGCACATATGCAGGCTCAAGGAAAGGAGACAGACAAGAGCTTTGCATAAGTTGAGGATAGAAACTCGAGAAAAACCAGCACTGGAGGGTCAGATGTCAGGAAAGGAAGCATGAAAGAAATTTGAGGAAGGCTCAGAGTAAAGGAAAACCGAGAATTTGTTTCTCTGAAAGTAATGAAAGACTGTGTGGCCCAGCATGTAAAGGTTACATGGAGACCCAGTCAAGTCAGGACTGGAAAGTACCCATTGGATTGGGCAACTAACATACAAAAATTAGCTCAAAATGGATCAGACTTAAATGTAAGAACTAAAACCCCAATCCTTCTCCTCCCCTCCCCTTCCCTCTCCTTTCCTTACTGTGTGTGTGTGTGTGTAAATCTCCATATTCTGAGATTTGTATTTTTTTAGCTTTATTGAGATATAATCCACATATAACATTATATATTTACAGTATAGCACACTCTATTTCTTAAATTCATTTCATTAGTTTTTAGCATGTTTGCCTTGGACAGTCAACTTACTCAGTGTGGCTATTTATAAATTCTGGTAAACAGTCTGAGGGGGGAGAGAACACCCTCCCCTGATCTTCACATGTCCAAATCCTACCACCCTTCAAGGACCAATTATGACCTTGTTCCTCCCTTTAATCTGGTAAGCTCTCCTTTCTCTGAACTCCCACATCAATTTCTCTGTTACTCTCTGTGTTACTTATCAGCTGCTACCTTGTATTCTAATTATTTATGTATGTGCCTTATCACCCTTACTACGCTGTACTGGCTTGGCCTTTAAAGAAAGGTCAAGATAAGAAATAGACCCTATAAAGTACTAGTGGCCCAGTGCATGGCTCTGTGCACATTGAAAGGAAATTAATTAGAAGAAAAATTCGTGCGGTAATTATGTTACTGCAAAAAATTACATGTCAAAATTGTATATATACTATAGCATTATAAAATTAAAACATGCGTGTGATTGGCACCAGCAAGAGCTTTTCTATGTATCACGCATGCGAGAGTCAACATTTATTTTTAAATTGCCAATGTGCAGGATAGAAACTCGAGAAAAACCAGCACTGGAGGGTCAGATGTCAGGAAAGGAAGCATGAAAGAAATTTGAGGAAGGCTCAGAGTAAAGGAAAACCGAGAATTTGTTTCTCTGAAAGTAATGAAAGACTGTGTGGCCCAGCATGTAAAGGTTACATGGAGACCCAGTCAAGTCAGGACTGGAAAGTACCCATTGGATTGGGCAACTAACACCCAGACTTCAAGTGTCATGTGATTAGTGACTCTGCCCTGTTTTGCTCTGTGGCAGCCACAATATGCTAATTCACACTGAACCTGGAAACAAGTCAAGGTTCTAAGTATTTCCTAAGTGCTGTTCTTATGCCATCCTGCTCTCACAGTGGTGAACTGCTCAGCTTTCATCCTGGACTTCATACTTAATACATAGAGTCACCTGAATATTTTATCAGTAGGTCATTTATATCATCCCCCAAGTCACCGATAAAGCATTTGTGACTTTCAACATCCACCTATAGTCAGTTCTTACTATCCAAGTCCCTAAGACTATACTATTTTCCTACCTTGAATGGAAGGTAAGACATTATCAGTTACTATTTACCTGCTTGGTATCAAGCACTATACTAGATGTTTTCACATACATGATTAGTTCCTGCAATCCTTATAAAAATTGTAAGAGGTAGCTAATGTTATCTGTTTTCGGGATGAAAAACTGAGGCTTAATGAGATTACACAGCATCTGAAACCAGGTCTACCTCCAATGCCATGTGGTTTGCACATCACCTTCCTTCCTTCCT